TAGAAACTGTGCCACATTTACTTGGGCATGTGCAGCTGGTTGGAAATTTGAGACCACGAAGAAAGGTTATGCATTTGCTTTAAAAACTTACCTCTCTGATATGTACATATCTTTAATAATGTGCAGAAGATAAATATAAATATAGATGAGGAAAATTAACTTACTGATAGGAAACATGGAAGACCTATTAAGAAAAGATTTACTAAAGAAGGACAACATTGGCCAACAATGTATAAAAAATGTCCATGTCGTTAATAATTTTAAAAATGCAAATTATTAAGAGGAGTCCATTTTCAGCTATTAAGTTGGCAAAAAACTAGTGCTGGCCAAAGTTCAGGAAAACGAGTACTTGTACACACTATGGTCAGAGTATTTTGATGCAACATTTCTGGAAGACTTAATTAAGACAATGTACATTAATATAGTCTTTCCATTTCAAATAAATACTGAGGCCCAGAAATCATAATTCTATTTACTTATCCTGAGGAAGTAATCTGGATATGGGAAAAGGATATATACAAGATGTTCACTGAGTTTTTGCTTATACTGGTACAAAAATTAAAACCAGCCTAAAAGTATACTAATAAAAGCTCATTGGCTAAATTATGGTAGAATCTCTACAACTGAAATTTCTTTAGGAATTAATAATGATGTAGTAGTAGAATATGTAGTGATGGTACATGTTTATGACGTGCATCTTAGGTAAAAGGAACAGATTCTAAAGCAACATCCTATGTTAATACATTTTGGCAAAGCATATACAGAAAACAAACTGAAAAGATGCATATAAAATGTTAACAGTGGTTATTTCTGGGTAGTGGGACTACATTTGACTTTATTTTCCTTGTTTGTGTGTGATTCACATTTTAAAAATTTTCTATTACCACATAATGTTTATGAATGATTTGAATAATTATGTAATAATTTTATACAATTGCTTTTTAAGAAATAAAAATAATATTAAAAAAAAGTGTCACTGGCTAGGTGATCAGCTCCTTGAGGTCAGGGACTGTGAATAAATCTTTTTTTTTTTTTTTTTTAATACTTCTAATACCATTGACTGTTGTGTCTGGTAAACAAAAAGAAGTCACTTAACACTTCTCAAAATGAAATTTTAATACTTTAAGCAAAAGCTACAAGGCTAAACTAGGATTTTCGTTATAAATATTTTCTCAGTGTGATTTCTTAATAGGAAATTATCAAGTTGATTGATTTCCCTCTAAAGTCACAATTTATTACAGGTAATGGTATGGCACTGCTTTTAGTGCTTTTCTTACTAATTATCTCTCCAATAAAAGGCTTTATCTATATGTAGGAGTAGTTTTCAGGGACTGCATTTGCTTTTATGAGTATTACTGTATATTTAATAAATAAGTATATAAATTTACTTGTAATCTAAAGACACAAGCTGACATTGGGTCTAGATACATTTAAAATCAAATTTTGTAAGTGGCAAAAATTTCCAAGGATTATGGGATACCATAGTTATTAAGCGGAAACACTTAACTACATGATAAAAAACATTACAAAGATATCACATGTTTAAGCTTGCCTTTTCCTTCAGATCAAGAGATAGGTTTATTTAGACAGCTGAAACAGAGCCCTATAAGAAGTGTTTAGTCTCCTTGACTATTCCCCCAAGATTATCAGGAAGGAATGAATAACTGATTGGATGTTTGACAGGGCCTGTGTTAATTATGCAAGTGATTTTTGTACATGATTCTCTTAATAACCTGTATAGTTTATGTAACTGTAAACAATATTTTATTTTATTTTTTGGAGGTATTTTTTTAAGTTTATTTTTATTAGAGAACAAGTGGGGGAGAGGCAGAGAGGGAGAGACAGAATCCCAAGCAAGCTCGGCACTGTCAGCATGGGACTTGATTTGGGGCTTAAACCATGAGATAATGACCTGAGCCAAAGTCCAGAGTCAGAAGCTTAACTGATCGAGGCACCCAGGTGCCCCCATATTGTTTTATTTTAAAGTTATCCAAAGAATTATTCACAGTGTAAGAATATAGGATATGATGGATCTTACAAAGGTACTTAAATTTTTTCTGCCGTCAGGTGAAATGCCTAACTAGCTTTGATTATACAAACTAAATGAGCTCAAGGATACTATGATAATAAAAGATTTATATGCAACTAAAAGACAATATACAATTTAAACATTCTGGGGAAAACACTTCACTCTAATGATTTAAAATACCTTTATGTTTTAGTAGAGATTATGTAATATAGTACAAATGGAAGAATTAAGGACTGGAATATTTATAAAACCAAACAAGTATTTTGACTTAGAAGATTCCTTTAATTTGCTTTCATTTTCCAATATTTTCCTTGCAGCCAAAATCCTAACCTCTTTTGATAAATAGGATGCTAATCCTGTTGGACACCTACGACTCAGTAAACCTGAATGCTACACGTCCTGTAAGTCCCACAGAAGTCGTGAGCAGCTGTCCCTGACTTCACTCTCTTGAGCATTATTCTCCCTTTCCTTTTTTTGTAGTGGTCAGGGTTTCCGGTTCTGTCTTCGAGGAACCTTGTAATGAGATATTCAGACCTCAATCTTACAGTCACAAAACATGGTCTGAGGCTTAACTTAGTTGCTGTTTCTGTCATTTATTTCTGTCAAAATGAGCTCCTCTGCAACTATTTGCATCATGAATTTTCATCTCATATTTTACCATCTGAGTTTGATGATTTCCTTCATCTGTTAAGGAATTGCTTTTTTTAAAAAAAAATTATTTACAGTATTTTCTAGTAAGGCTTGTACACAACTTCAGGAAACATGACTTCATGAGGCCATTTAAACAAATTTATGACATATTCAAAATGAGAGCATGGATGTTTCACCAAGGTATGTAACTGAATTTTATGGCAAAGCTAAATAAAAATGGCAGAGTTAATGGCTATCATGGGAAGTGGAGGCTCTTAACCTCTAAGATCAACTGGAGAGATTCAGTGTGGCATCCCTTTTTTGAGTAACTTGGAAATGCTGTAGAAGGCCAGGGAGACCCAGGGCAATTCTCCTATTCCCACGTGACACACTTTCTTAAGTGAATGTAAAACCCCATTGTAAGCATGTATGATAAAGAACAGTGCCTTTATGTTTGTAGTGATGGTGAAAACGCAGAGGCATGGCATCAAGAAAGCTTTTTGCCATTGTGTGACCAAGTTTTCAGTATGTAATTATAAATAAGCCTTTGCTCCTGCCTTTATTAGATGTCTATTGCTGCATAACAAATTATACCCAAGACTTGACTTAAGATTTATTATCTCACAGATTTTGTGGGTCAGGAACAATCTGGGAGTAATTTAGCTAGGTTCTCTGCTTTAGGGTCTCTCTAGTAGTTGCAGTGGCAGGGGTTACTGCTAAGGCTCCACTAGGGGGGATATACTTCTAAAAGAATTCTTGTGGTTGTTGGTAGGATTCAGTTCCTTATGTGCTGTTGGCTCGAAGGCCCTGTTTCTTGCTATGTGGGTCTCTCTACAGGCATTCCCAACCCAGCAGGTAGCCTCTAATCAGGGTGAGAGTGAGAGATCAAGAGAGAAGCCCATCTTTCTACAACGTGACATCCCATCACTTCTGCTGTATACTCATTAAAAACTAGTTTTTAGGTCCCATGCACACCCAAAGGGTGGACTACCAGGAAGTGACATCACTGAAGCCATCTTAGAGGTTGCCTCTAATGTATCAAATGCAAGATACATTCACACACTCCCCAGATTGCCCAAAGTCTCATCGTATTACACCATCAGCTTGAAGTCCAGAATCTTATCACTGAAATCAGGTCAGGTTGGGTGAAGCTCCTCAGGTGTAATTTGTTAAGTCCAGATTCTGCAACACAGCTCCTCTCAATCTGTAGACCCATGAAGCTAATGGGACAAGTCATCTGCCCTCCACTCCCAACATACAATGATGGATTGAGCATGGGAGAACTCCAATAAGACATTCCTGTTCACAAGGGGGAGAAACTCAGAGGAGTCTCTACATCCACCCCACACTCAAGGGGAGGGGACTGTTCAAGGTCCTGAAACCCAGGATTGGGAGAGGTCACTAGGACCGTCTTAGAGGCTGCCTACCACACTGTCCTTCCATTTGACTCTAATAATAAAAAGTAAAATTTAAGAGACTGTTTTATGAAGCATAAGGTACACTCAAGTTTTCATAGTTTTATGTTGCATTACTGTGTACTACAATTTTTTTTTTGGCTCAGGGTAAAAATTATTTTGCATTGTAAGAATATAGGAGGAAATTGCTTAAAAACTCTTTTTCCTTCTAACATGGCGACAAATCTGACTCTTACATTGTTTAATTTTCCCAAAATTTTCAAAATGTTTAAGGTTTAATATAACATCTGTTACAGCTCCATACTTACTCCTCAAGCTGCATTCTGTATTTCATCTTCAATTTATCAATACATTGATTGCATTTGCATAAAATTCAAATTATATTCCTTGGTGAAACATCAGTTTAGTATAACCAAACTAGAGCATAGATTAGGAAGTTTTTTTTATTTCTGTATATTCTTAGAATGATGTCACAATAACAACACAAATTTAGAACATACAGTGGCATCTGTGGAATCCCTAAGATAACTATAATATCTTTAATAATGCTTCATGTTTTTTTGTTTTTTTTTTTAATTTTTTTTTCAACGTTTTTTATTTATTTTTGGGACAGAGAGAGACAGAGCATGAACGGGGGAGGGGCAGAGAGAGAGGGAGACACAGAATCGGAAACAGGCTCCAGGCTCCGAGCCATCAGCCCAGAGCCTGACGCGGGGCTCGAACTCCCGGACCGCGAGATCGTGACCTGGCTGAAGTCGGACGCTTAACCGACTGCGCCACCCAGGCGCCCCAATAATGCTTCATGTTTTTAATGTTCTATGGTATTTCCATTTAAGAATCATATATTTTCCTTATATATCTATAACTTTATGAATAACCTATCCAAATATGCAGAAGAGGGCTTTGGGAGAGAAAAAATATGCACATTATTTTTCTTAACTGACTACCTGACTAGGTTTTTTTGTTTGTTTTTGTAATATAAACATGCTGTTCTATCAGTTTTTATCTTCAATGATATATGAAAGATCCAAAATCAAGTTGGCTGTCTCCACAGCCACCTGCAGGCCACTAAGTTTAGCAGTAAAACAGTCCAAAGTCAGGTTGTTGGCTGAGCCCACAGCTTCATGTGGGAGGCAGGTTTGTGGTGCAAAGGGATGACGAGTACTCTTTAAAAAAGACCAGCGGAGTTCTTCCTGGCTAGTGTATAGTCCACAGCCACATCTTGAAAGTAAATCTGGCCAGTCAACAACAGAGGGAGACTCTGGCTGAGCAGACCAAAAGTGTCCGTACTTCATGTCAGTAAGAATTTCACCTCCATCATGTTCTAGAGAGCCAGCAACAGATTCTAGTGCACTGCAGAATGCTTCAGTGAGGAGCTGAAGTTCTGTTTGAGTACACCCATCATCTTGGAGAATGCTTTCGGGCTCATTACAAATCTAAATAGTAATAAAACCATTGAAAACACAGAGCAATGTTATAAAAATTTTTCTGAAAGATAAAATACTTGATCAAACCTTTATCATAAAGTTACTACTTGTGTTCAATTTCCTTAGGAGTTTAGCACAATGCTAATGGGCAACTATGGGTCAGCTGTCCAGGCTATAATCCCTTAATCTGGTTGATTATAGTATAAATATATGCTAGTCATGTTATCAGAAAGAATGAATCAGAATAAACCCCATCATTGGCTTACTATGAATGACTGCTCGGTAGTGTCTCCTCAATACATGAAGGACATGGCATAATGCATATATTACAGGTTTTCATACACACAGGAGGAGGTTCCTTAAGGCTAATGTCCAAATGAAGTACTTATTTAGCCAACTGTTTGAGATTTGTTTAAAATGAGAACACACATGATTATTAAGACAAAAGCCATTTAGGGACATGTGCAATTTTCACATCAAGGTTTTAAAATAAATAATCTCTTTAATGAGAAGTAAATGTTTTTTGTTTGTTCCACCATTCTAAAAAAGTTTATCCTAGAGATTTAATGATAGAAAAAGTAATATATTAGCAAACTAATAATTGAATGATAGCTAAAAACCCATATTCAACCCACTTCAAAGCAGTGACCACTTTCTTTTTCGGCTCAGGATGTGTGAACCACATAAGATGGCCTCTACTGCATGTTCTTTCCTCAGATTTTCAGTACTGTATTGTTTCTTCAAAATTCTACTTAGAAAACCTTCCTCCTCCAAAAAACCTTTTCTAGTTTACTCAATCCCATTTGCAGACTATATTGCATCAATAGATGGGCACTGATTTTGTTTTTTGTGATGTATATTCTGATAACTTTTAGATTTTAAATCATTTTGGGAAGTAGGGTGGGGCACATGTGTAAAAAATGTGCACTGTCTCTCTAACCTAGTCAGCCACCAGAAGCTCTGCAGTCTCTTCATAACACTCCTGACCAACCAAAGAATCAACTGCAAATATGTGGGAAACATACCTTTTTGTATCTGTTTTCAAAAAGCCAGCATTTATGAAATAATCAGAACCATAATGGACTAAATTTATGTATTATCAGGACATAGTTTCCTAAATGAATAAAAAATATTCCACTTGATAGAATTTATATTATAAACAGATACCAATTTAAAAATCGTAACAGAATCTGGGATGTCTGGGTGGCTCAGTTGGTTAAGCTTCTGACTTTGGCTCAGGTCATGATCTTGTGGTTCATGGGTTTGAGCCCTGTGTCAGGTTCTGTGCTGACAGCTCAGAGTCTGGATCCTGCCTCGGATTCTGTGTCTCCCTCTTGCTCTGCCCCTCCAGTGCTTGTGCACCCTCTCTCTCTCTCTCAGAAATAATAAATGAATAAACTTTAAAAAAATATTTAAAAAATCATAATAGAATCTAATACTTGGAATGCTTTATTAAATGAAATTAAGTCTTCTTGACAGTCCAGAAGGTATGAAGTATTCTGTGGAATCTTAACACTTTCATTATGAATATCAATTATTATTGGACCACAGCAGTTGAAATCTCAAGTACAACTCCCATTTAACAGAACGCTCATTTCAACATGCCATATTTAGACAATACTCAAAGAATGTGATCATTTGGTAAAGGGCTGGATTAATAATAGTGTAATAAAGATATTACCTTATATTTGCAAATGTTATTTTCCTCATGTTTTCAAATACAATATTTGATTTGAACTACTGAGAAATTAAGCATTAAAAGCTCCAGGGTATTATGATTTGGTTTATTGTCTCATAAAAACAAATGTTGCTGGAAATTCAGATAATCTGAACAGGACTATCTAACCTACCTTGTGTCTGATATATGCTGCCAAATGAGTTTCAGTACAGCCACCTCCCAACAAAACACTCGGTTCCTTGATTGTTAACTGCAAAACATGCAGTGCTGTTTGACATGTGAGCTAAAAAAGAGATGAATCATCAGAATCAGACATCGACATGAGATACACAAAGAACTATAACCATTTTTCAAGGGAACTTAGATAGTAGACTCAAAGAGCTGGATTTTAATTGCAAAAGAACAAAACTTGTGTTGCCAAGGTTGTAATGTGATGAATACAGTTTGAAACAATAAAGATTAGAGATTAAAGAAAAATACTTTAGCCAGATGTTTATTTCCATGGGCAGGATTAATATCATCTTTCATATGCACTTAGCTCCTCAAACTGAGATTGACAAATGGATGTCCTCAAAATAACTGGGTCAGTAAGGTTTGCTAGTATTTCTACCAAAAAGATTATTTCAGTCTAAATAAATGAGTTATATACATGCTATAGAATTTATTTCAGGCTGCTATGGAAATAATATAGCTACAACCCAGTAGTAGTAGTAGTAATAATAATAATAATAATAATAATAATAATAAAGAGAGCCCTTTCACATTTACCAAGGACATATCCTTGAGTATATATGAATCAAGTTTGTGACCAATACTCATATAAAAGTTGCATGTGTTATTGCTGGTAGAAAACAACAAACTCTTAAGAGGTGGATGGGTATGGCTGGGGAACTCATTTTCTAAGTGAATTGTTCATACACACTAGCATGAAGGTATACACAATTCAAGTTAATTACTAAGAAAAGTTCACATGTCAAGGACCTTTAGATTGCTTGTAAATACTAGAAATAATAACTGGTAGCACTTGCTAAGTCTACTGTAATATCACAGGCAATTAAATCAGCTTACTTGTGACTTTAATTCTCTCATTTTTGTTGTTGCTTCCTAAATCACCTAGGAAAGTTATGAAAAACAAAATGCATAGCTCAGCTATGTGAAGATAACTATTGTGTCTGTCTGACTATTTAATCCCGGTTTCAGCCCCTAGACAATGGAATTCAAAGTTTGTTACCTACCTTCAGCTCATCCCAGGCAGTGTCATTTCTGTTGCAGAGCAGCAAGCTGCAGATAGTTGCCTCATTAGGAATAAGATGAAGAAAATGTTTGAAGCCAAATTTTTCAGTGCACAAATCTTTTACACTTCCATAACTACTAGGAGAGATTGAGCCTAGGGAACCAATAGGCTGTGTTCCTATTTTTTAAAGTTTAGAAAACACAAAAGGTATGAGTAAAGATGGAACGTACAATCATGTACAATGGATTCCTAAAAGCCCCTAAGCATACACTTCGAAACATGAAATGTAGACTAAATAACAAGATGCATTTTCTAAAACCTACAAAATAGGTAGTAGTCTGCTATTAAAATGATATACACTAAAGCAGAGGTTCTTTCACTTTACAGACTTCTTTGAACACCTGTTAGGAGCTATCTTGTACTCTAGAAAAGCACACAAAAATGTGCATCCATTTTCTGGGAGCTTAACAAATTTGCAAGAACCCAGAAAGTAATCCCTGAACAATTACACTTATTTGAATATTCTTTTCTTCTAAAGCCTCAAAGAATAAGGAATACTTGAGTAATCTAAAATTTAGGGATTACCAAAAAATGCCTACGAGATATGTATTTCACTTGGACACAACAAAGAATCTGAGAGGATCTGGCTCTACTGCTTATGTGCCACTGGACACGAAGCAAGTCTCTGATGTCAGAGTCTCTGATGTCTGGGTGGGCCTCCCCATGTGACAGTAAGATGGGAACAGTAATGCCTACTTCACAAAACAGATATTAAATGTTCTGTACTCCATGACAAGCTTCAAACACACCAATGGCCTATGCACAATAACCCCAGATCATCGATAAAGAGGAATTTTGTCTGAAGGGGGAGAAAGGAGGTAATAGGTAATGTTAACCTAGATACACTCAGGAAGGTGGAAAATATAGTTTACCTGAGCCATGGGCTTGGTATAGTTTTTCCCCTTTTTATCTCACAAGGTCTCTGCTCCCAAGATCCAGGACTAAAGCTCTGGCTATTAATACCATGTTCTAGTTACATGTGGGATAAATAAGAACTGTGGGCTGGTATAGAAACCCTGTGCCCACATAAACTATTGTTTCTATAGTAAAATGTTTCATATTTTAAAAACTGACTAAATAACCTGTAATACCCGATATTCACAGCTGGAAAAGTCATGAAAAATCAATAAATATTTAAAGCTATGGGTCTGACCCAGAACATCAGTGAGTTCCATAGAACTATTTCCATTATTTCTTCATAATTTCCACTTTGACAATCATGGGACAGCCTTATAGAGGTAGGGCAATAATCCAGAGATATTAGGTGTTCAATACTGGCATACACACTACTACATTTTGATGAGTTATAATAACACTAAATATCGTGAACTTTAACAATGGCTTAAAATCTGATAAACGTTGCAATTGATCAAAATGATCAATTTTGGTATGTTGTCGATGCAATTAAAGGGATACTGAAAGTGGCTCAAATCACGAACTCTTCACGTTGTCATGTTTCTTTGGCTGTAATAAGTATCAATCTTATGTCTGATTTTAATTTACAAAATACAGTGAATTTCTTGCCTGTTACAATTTTGTATCTTACCAAATATATTAGTTAATTCAACAAATGTCTTAGAACACCTACTGGGGACCAGGCCTGTTGTCAGTGCTAAAAATAAAAGACGATCCTGATTCTTAAGGCGCTCAGCTGGAAATATCAGATATTTAAAGCTAGTGTGTGTACATACCCACCCACCCACTCCTAATTAAGAACTATTTAGGCAGAAGTACAGTAGTGAAGAAGTACAGAAGTGAAGAAAGGGGATCTTTTAGCTGCAAAACTACCTTCAGAATGTAATGTGATTTAAGAGGTTTGTAAAATTCAGTTTTGTGTTAAGTATGAAAGACCTAATGATTATGAGGTGGTTAAACTTCTCAATACTGTAAGATACCTGGGGGGGTTAATAGTTTTACGTCATAACAGATTCTGTTGTCCTTTGGGGGGCAGGAAAATACATAGAAATAGTCATAATCACTCAACTTTCAGTAAGTGAATGTTATAGGATATCCTTTATGAGAAACCTTTGCTGCCAGAAATGTTAACATATGCTATAAAGTTGGCGGCTTCTAAAATTTTTCAAGATGTTCACAGTGACACACACCAAGAATATCTCTGCTCAAAAAAAGTGTGATTTAAGTGTAAGAGGCAAAGGCTGAAGGTGCTTTTTACCTGTCACTTTACTCAGGGGTTCCATGAGAGCCGCTCCGACTCTGTCTATGGCAATTATGCGATGCATACTGAGAAACTGTTTCAAAGATGGGTGCACAACTTTTTGGCATATGACTAGATCTATGTGATCACTAACTAGCTGCCCTCCTAGGTTAAGCAACTGGTCCAGGACTGCATTTTCAAGAGAAACCCCAGAACTGACCACTACAGTTCCTTCTCCAGTGTCAGAGAGATCTCCAGATAAAGATGCACAGAAGAGTGCCACCTTGAAGGTGTCTGATTTTTTGATAGGTAAGATCTTCATCAATTGAACTTCTGATATTTCAAGAAGTATTCCAGGTAATACAGTAGAATCTGTAACTCTTTGACCTTTTAAAGGCACAATTATACTCTTTCCTAAAAGGAGGCAGTCTTTGGTGTTTTCTGGAATTGTAAGCAAAAAGGCTCTCAGAATCAAAGCACTGATATGGTCTATTTCCTGTCTGGTGAGCATGCAGGCAGGTTTACTTGTTACTATACTGCGCACCAGGCAAAGGAGGGTCTGAGTACTACTGAAGTCGACTAGAATTCGACAACCACAGAACTCAGACTGGAGGTAGCTGGTGCAGAGGCTCAAAAGATGCTTATTTAATTTGATAACAGTGGTGGGCATCAAGCCTATTCTCTGATCATTTTCAATCAGATTGCAGCAAAGAATGGCTGTGAATAAGCCACAGTCACTGAAGCACGACACATGATTCTGCATGGATGTTGTTAGGATCTTTAAGATGGGATGGGTGACGGAAAGGTTAGCGAGCAGGGCTGACGACTGTGAGGTTGTGCACACACAGCCCCCGAGGCCATTGTGCAGCTGCTTCAGCCTACCTGAAGGGCCATAGCTTGATGTTAGGATGCCTTTCAAGACACAAAGTGTGGCCCTGACTCTCTCACTTGTCAGTGGTTCACTTTTACAGAACGATGGCTTTTTAGCTTCTAAACGAGACATCTTACTTTGGGTGATAATTGGTGAGGATGGCTTTTATTTTGTCAACCATATTTTTCTGTTTATTGCATTGTCATGGGTTTTGACATTTAGAAAAAAAATTATTCTTCAAGGAATGAAAGTCTTGAATATGCAGCACTGTGGCTATAAAATTAGCTCCAGGTTTATGAAGCTTATCAGCATGGAATGACTTAATGACATAGTAATAATTCCAGGTATTTATTTTTCCTTCATTCTTCAATACTCATTTTGTTTGCCTCTAGATTGAGATTTTACAGATTGTTTTGCAGCCCTCTGTATAAAGTATGTTCCAAGATGGACACTTATGAAAGACACCCCAGCTACAAGAAGCCAGTTCTTTCTAATCCAGCTGGTGTTTTTCATCTCTTCTTTCAATATGAAGCTCAGATTCAAAGATACTTCTTTCTATAAGAAATAAAAGTAAAACATTTTAGAGAAATAATTCCAAAATATTTAATAGAATGCAGTTTACTATATTGACACTCTGCTCCCTCTTTAGAAAAAGGAATTATCAACTGGCACAAGCCTCCAGAAAATGAAAAATGTAAATCCACTTAGACTAAGCATTCACTCCTTTGTTCCTCAATGAATCCCTCCAAGAAAAAGTACTGATATTTGAATGATTTTGGAATGCAAAACAACATAATAGCTAGAAAGCTTACAGTAGTTATTTGAGTATGACATGCTTCTAGAAAAGAAATGCTATATTATGAAACTCATTATAAAATTCTGAGTCTTAAAAAAAAAAACCCAAATGTTTTTATTCTCTTACATCAAGATTTAATGTTATGTTTTTTCTATAACTCTGGAAACCTTAGGTCTAAACACAGATACACTTACATCAAATCCTGCTTATAAATAATTATGAAATATGGTAACTGTTAGGTCTCCCAAATGTAGACCCACTTTTTAATGTACAGTCTAGCTCTAGCTGTATAAATCTGCACAGCACATTGTACCAAAGAATAAACCATGTTTTCAATGTTTGACTAAAGTCAGAGCTAATTTTTTGTAGTTTCATTCTCTCAATTAATGATTGTCAGTTTTGATGTCCTACCATAATCCTCTCCAAGACTTTGGTTAATGACAGTAAGTACAAAAATCAGGGAATATGCTGTTTGACAAAGAGAAAGACAGGATCTGATTTGCAATTTCTATCTCCAAGGGTCTGAATACCATAAAATATTATAACAAGTGTACTTGCACTTGTACTAGCTTCCTTAACAAGGTTGTAAATAAGTAGCATGCCTTGCAGCATAAAATCCTGACACTTTAATAACATGTGAAAAAAATAAAAATTTCAGGTCATGGACCTTGTCTGTTGAGGTTTGGTGCTTTGAAGGTGAAAGTTCAGCCAATTATTATTTTCAGGAATATGCTAATTATGCCAATCACTTGGACAGTATTTAGCATAAATAAAACTAATTGGACTACCTCACTACAGGACTACCTGAAGCAGACGATGGCACAGTGTGCTATAGACTGAGAAGGTGGTGTGAAGATGTGCAAAGAAGAGGTGAAGAGGAGGAGGGGATGTTATTCAGTGTTATTTCGGTTACCACTCCTCCCCATTTAAAGGACTGTAACCATGGCAACTGGGCCCAACTAAAGAGAAGGCAATGATGGCTAGTTTTCTCCCTGCAATAAACTACAGTTATCCTTTTTTACAAGACGAGGAAAAAAATCTTTCATCTTATGCCAAGAACAGCCAAGGTACTTAAATATTATTTCAATGGTTATTTTAGATTCAGCAAAATCTGTGACATACATTTAAACAAAACCTTAGTGAAGTGACTTCTATACACTACTTTATACTTTGTGACACATACTCACACCAAAACACAAATCATAATAGAAAACTGTGATCGATAAAATGGTTTCTCCAGTTAAAAAAACATTTCAATACATAACAGTGACATGTAACATTTCAAAAGCAGAATGCCACATCAGCACCTCTAAGAGTCTTGGGTAGTGAGACCAGTAACCACATCTTTTGGCTAGTATCTCTATAAAATCTACAAAATCAAAGAAGAAATCATTGAAAGTATTGGTGACTCCCAAATCATTTTTAGGATGTCAAAACTTTCTGACTTGTGAGTCTAGATCCAGACAAAGCAAGGTACAACTGAAAGAAAAGAAATGAAATGGCTTATAGAATATGTGTGGAAATGTCAGTTTAGATCTATTAGAACTCTTTCTCCTGACACCATGACCCGTATTTCCAAAGGCTACCATCACATGAACAGCTCTGACTTCCTGGATGCATAGGCCTGCCAGATGGGCTTTTGCAGTAACAGATAATTTAATTAAAATAATAATAAAATTGGGGCACATGGGTGACTCAATTGGTTGAGCATCTGACTTCAGCTTGTCATGATCTCACAGTTTGTGAGTTCGAGCCCTGTGTCGGGTTATGGGCTGACAGCTCAGAGCCTGGAGCCTGCTTCTGATTCTGCCCTGCTCACACACTCACTCTCTCTCAAGGATAAAAAAACATTAAAAAAAAAAAATAAAACTTACATGACTGTATTCCAAATTTAGACATACACTATAAATTGTGATTTAAAGAGATATAAACAGGTAAAATTTTCTCCCATCAGGGTTCCTGGGAGAAATGGCTGATTCTAGGTCTGA